CGGAAATCAAGATAAACCGTTTTTTACCCTTAAAAACTCACCCCCTTCCCCTTCCCGACCTCAGATCGCCCGTAAATTATTTTTCCTTTCATTTCTGTTATATTCTCTTCCCTTTCCAATGGGTTTCATCCTACTATAATTTTTTTTTGTTTCAAAAATTATCGATCCTGGTCTAGTCCCAGTTTTAAAAGAACAATTTCTATATCTCTTTTGCCATGAGATTTACTGTGACATCTTTGTGTCATTGAATTCTGGAAAAGACTGCAAAATCCTAGGTTTGTGGCACATACCATGTTTAGAGACCAAGTTAATTTCTCAAGGGAACCGATAATTCATTATTACAATACCCATGGACAGAAGAAAATCAACTGCTGTTGTGTCTGAATGTTTGGATTTGAATTCTTGGAGCCCATAACTTCTTCTAGATTGAATGTAGTACTTTCAGAACTCAGTAAAAATGATGGTAAAAGAGCACAATATTTACACGAATCATATTCACATTATTGGATATGACGTGGTGGAGCTCAGTTTTGGTTTCCTCGAATACCCGATTTAAATCCCCTTTCTAAATTTTTGTATATAGGGCCATTTAACATACTTTAATGTAAGTGTCTTACCTCTGCCAGATATTCATGAATTCGCGACTAATATGTTTTGATATTAGAATATAGAAAAAACTAATTCTTTATACATCACGTGTTCCTATTTTGTTGAAGTATATTTTTATTTGGAGTAAAATTTAAATTTATATGAAATTTTTCCATAACTTATTCTTATTTTTAGACACAATTGGTGGATAATTTTGAACTAAACAAACAGGATAAAATCGTTAGTAAATAATATGTAACTGTTATCTATTTGACTTTCTGTTTCATTCATTTTTGTCAAGCTTTATTCTGGTATTTTGGTTCATACATTTAAATCACTACGTCTCTAAAAAAATACTTGTGAAATAAAAAAATATACTATATAAAACAAGCAAAAATTATTAACAAATCGCCTATACATTTTAGTAACATATTGGTAAATACAAAACGATTGGGACGAACAACAAACTACACAGTAATTTTAATATTCTCAATTTGGCAGTAATCTTACACGATACTAGAATCGTAAATAAACTTTGACACTCGACCGCAGCTAAGGTTATTTGTTTATAAATAAAAATAACAAGTTCGAAGCGACTTACCTCGTAAATTTTATCTGTACGAAGCTTGATGCGACTTCCCGCGGCAGTTTCGTATGTATCACCACCTTATCTTGACAACAATAACGCTATAAAACAAAGTCATGAAGCAGGGGATAAATTTTTTGACGCAGATCTTGGCACACGACCTTTCTTGGACGGAATTAAGCCGCGAATAGACCTGTGACGAAATTAAATAATTAAACGCTTGTTTACATTAGTCACCTGGTGATATTAAAAAAATTGCAAACATTACTATTTAGTATTGATCATCGATCTGTCATTATAAAATAATTTCATATTATGTAAATATAACCACGCTTTCTTATCTACGTTTATGGGATTGCTGTTAATTGCTGATAATTTTTAATGGGAAAATAATTATGCAATTATGAGTAATTGTGAAGGAATATTATTGCGGAGATAGGCAAAATAAGCAGTTACACATTTCAGAAATATGACAAACATAATAATATAAACAATTGCCATTAAGATTGCGAGTCGTAAATTCACTTTTACTTTCCCACTTGTCGTTTCTAAATTTTTTATGTAACTGTCGAAATTTGCTTGGATTCGCGTGAGACATTTATATTAAATTATTTCGTATAGTGTGAACTTGACATTAGTTAATTCTTACGTAACAAGAAGCATTGGTTTCGCTTTAAGTGCTCTCCAAAAGAAAATATATTAAAAATATACACAATTGCAGTACGGTTAGCTTTAGTGACAAATTATAATTTGAAAAACATAAAAATTGCAATAAAAAATAAATTAAAAGTATAAAAATATAAGAAAAAACGATTTTGTGAATATTTTTTATTATAAATTTATTGTCATTGAGTAAAACAGTGTCATATGCAAAAAGTATACTTAAAATAGTACTGTAAAAAATATTAGGTAGATCATTTATACACGGTGTCACCTAACGAATACTCAAGAGTATAATCTAGAACCCAAATGGTGTCGTAACCAAACTTGCGTAAACGAGAAACGTCCCAAAAAGTTACTGGGTGTTAAAGTTTCTTTTTTATTTCTTGTTTTCTCCTTAACTCAGAACCCAGTTAAACGATTTGAGCAAAATTTGCTGTTGCTTAGTTTCTCTTCATGAAGTATGCAGTGATTATGTTCCTATTAGGTTAAATCATACAGGGCGTTCATGTTACTACAGACCTTTGTGAATATTCTTCTGTAACTTTTTTATACGTTTAATTTTTTACACGCAACTATCAGAAATAGGTAGAGAATTTTACTCTACGCAAAAAATTTATATATATGAAAAGTCGAAATTATTCTCAGTTATGAAGATATTACAGAAAATAGTAATAGTAATAATAGTCTCGAAAGATATTCCACCTAAAAATCACATTAGCAGTGGAAAGATCAAGTAGTCGTTGGAAAATAATTAAATGTTGCGTTGTTTTAAGTGCGTAAGTGTCACAAAATACTTGTCATTACTCAATACGAACGTCAAACGTATAACTTCTGTGCTTACAAAATGTTTTCTCATTCAGAATTAGTTGATATGTTGGTAATTTACGGCGAGTCACAAAAAAATTCAAGAGCTGTAGAGTTATGTCGAGAAAGGTCACCTCATTTCTGATCATAGAACCTTGACAAGATTGGAGGCGACCTTGCGACGAAATGAAGAAGCATTTTCTGTTCGGAAAAATCAAATAATTGACCGAAGCGTAAGAAACAATGTTAATACCGCTAGACTGTTACAGTATTTCGAACAAAATCCACAAAATTCTGTACGGCAGGCTAGCGGGGAATTGAATTTGGATAAATTAGCCGTTCAACGAATTTTAAAGACCAATGGGTATCATGACTACAAAATTCACAATTTGGAGTCTAGTATTTGCCTGAGCGTCACATTGAAAACAGACTTAATTTTATAGCTCAAATTGTAGTAAATGTAGAAACTGTTGATCAGAACCTTTTTCGGCACGTTCTTTGGATGCACAAAGGCGGTTTGTTAGTAACGCTTTGGTCAAAAAGGTGCAACGAACACTACTGGTCAATTGAAAATCCCCACATTGTAAATCCATTCCAAAACCAAGGCCATTTTGGAGTAAATGTATGTAGTCCAATCAGTTGGCGCTCAAAAAGGGGGTTGCCTGTGAAGTTTTAGGGGAGTTTTGAAAAGTTATAGATTTTGACGTGCTCTTTCCGAATTTTTACTTTGCCCCCTCTTTTTTTTTCGGAAGTAGCCGCCATATTGGAAAAATGGCGCTCCAAAACAGTTTTTCGACGATATTCTCTTTCCGACTCACTTTATGCTGAAAATAGTTATGTAATAAACTGAACTAGAGAACATTTCCTATAATTTATGTCTCAACCTTTTTTCTGTGAAATGAATAGTTTCGGCGTACGAGCGCCGCAAAATCTACTCCAACACGCGTTATGGCCAACAAACTCATTTCCACACCGCCATGAGATAGAGTTCCTGGCGCGTTTTTTTTTAGTGATATCCCCAGCAGGCCTAATCCAGATGTGATGCACTGTTGACTAAATTTAGTACATTCTCCTTCGCTATCCCTCATGGACCTGGTTTTGTGAGTTCTTCGTCTTCAGAACTGAGCAAAACCTCACTGATAGGAAGTTCTTCCAAGTTATCCGCGATAGGGTTCTCTTCTCCGACTTCACCACCTTCTTCCTCGATTTCGTCGAAGGTTTGCTGAACCTGGTGATAGGAACGAATGTTGTCGTGCTGCTGCTTTTGTCGGTGGCAACGATGCAATATTAAATTTATTTTTAAATACTGACTTCGTGAAGCATGTGTAGGTGTTTAACGACATACTTTTTACGACACTGTAACCGTACAACGCAAGGAGGAAGTGTTCTCCAGCTACGAGACAGTGATGCAGAGGAAGATACGGAGTCAGTTCTATAGCAAACCTTCGACGAAATCGACGAAGAAGGTGATGGAGTCGAAGAAGAGAACCCTATCGCGGATAACTTAGAAGAACTTCCTATCCGTGAGGTTTTGCTCAGTTCTGAAGACGAAGAACTCGCAAAACCTGGTCCATCAGGGATAGCGATTACCTTTTGTTTTAACTGTATTAAAGAATTATCGAGTTTAATCCTTTTATTTGTTGTTAATGACATTTATTCACTTTAAACAACGAACATTCAATTATTTTCCAATGACTTGATCGTTCCACCACTAATGTGTTTTTTAGGTTGTATTTCTTTCGATACTCTTTAGGAGTATTTTGTATCCTCACAGTAGGCCCATCCTAGCGAGATTGAGACACCCCGTACTATTAAATCGTCTCATCTTGATCTCAGGCGTCTGTGATTACCGCATTGGCCTTCCCTACCGGGACGCCCTGTACACGGCGGCGTACGTAACTTTTATTTAACAAACGTTAGTGTTTATTTACCAGTATCGGAGTGTTTTATAATATGTACACATGTCACGGGGCCGCCATAATTCCCATTTACATAAAAATGCGAGCTGCGACTCATCATGCGTGACCCAAATAGGCCCACTATGTGTGTCAGAGTCAGAACCGCGTATTATTTTGATCGCATTCGTTATCTCTTTTCGAACCTACATATCAGATAAGGCACTTCACGGTGGGAGGAACGCAGCACAAACAAAAAGTGGAAATTACAGCAGTTCGCACGGAACCATCCTCGTACAGTGATGACAAAAGCGGATGTGTTTCCATAGATTTAGTTTGTGAAAAAGTACGGTGTCGGTGTTGGACAGTCGCAGGATTACAACTCGTTTATTGTTCGACGCAGAACTAGCGAAGATGAGCGATAAGGATCCCGTCGTCACAGTGAAAGATCTGCCCATGACGTTTACCGTGAAATACTTGGGTAAATATTCTGGTTTATTTAAAAATACTTGGCGTCTCTTAAACATCTACGTATGCGGATGGCGTCACCCTGTTTGTATATAGGGTGACACAAGAATGACAATTATTTGCAGATAATTTTTTTCAAGGAATTATCCTTACGTCACAAAACTAAAAGTTATTCATTTTGTCACTGGCGTCTACGATTATAATTGCTGTGACAAGAGAAAGGTGCCATTTATTTGCTAAAGACATTTTTAGAAAGAAACTAATTTGAACTAGAAATAATGCATATTTAGACCGATCGAAATAACTCATTTAGAGGGGAAAAAAAAGAAAATTGTTACCTGGACTTTTATAAGTGGAAATGGTAAAGGGTAAGAGAAAAAAAATAAATGCGTGAGCAGGGGCGGCGGAGGGTTGATTTGGGTAGTGAAAAATTATAAAAAATTGTATCATTGGCATTTCTGGCGAAAGTTGATGTCAAACAAAAAAGTATCCAATATAAAAGTTGTAGATCATGCAAAAATCTACAACTTTTGTAGAAATCGCTTTTTAAGATAACCTCAAAATTTCCGAGAAAAATGCGAAAAACAGTTTTTTTTCTGATTTTTCGTTTTTTATTTCTCATTGCCGCACAAATAATTTAATTTTAACGAAACTTGGTGAAAGTATACCTTTCTGTGTCTTAAATATCCACAAATTTATTTAGATAAAAAAATTAAGACGTTTCTGAGATATTAATTTTTTTCGGCCTGAAACACTTTTTTTTCAAAGAAAAATTCTACTTAAAAAAATCATCTTACAGAGTTCTGCCGGTAATCATTTTTTTCGTTTTGAGATATACTTTTTGGTGAAATAAAAAAATCTGTAACCACAGTTCAAAAACATGCTCAAAAATGCAAAGAAAAAAAATGACTTGCAACAATGAATTTTTCAGTTATCGTTGATAATTAGTTTAAATACTTTAAATTAAAAAAAAAAATCAAAAAACGAATAAAACAATCAAATCCAACGAAAAAAAAAAAAAAAAACTGTCTCATTGTTTGACCCAAAACTTTATTTTTTGTACAGTATTGTTTGTTTGTATTGAAATTTTGAGGTTATCTTAAAAAGTGATTTCTACACAAGTTGTAGATTTTTGCATGATCTACAACTTTTATAATGGATACTTTTTTGTTTGACGTCAACTTTCGCCAGAAATTCCAATGATACAATTTTTCATAACTTTTCAACCCCCCAAATCAACCCTCCGCCGCCCCTGCTCACGCATTTATTTTTTTTTCGTCTTTTATAAGCCCCTTTACCATTACATATTACAAACACACATTTCACGTAGTGTAATTAATTCTCATTTCGTGCGTATCATTTGCGGCTTAATTTTCCTGTTTTGTGTTGTTTTGGATTAATTTAACATGTTTAGCACTCATTTAGATGATGAAATGGCTGAATAAGGCAATAAGGTAAAAAGACACTGTATTTTGTTTCAAATGTTTAGTAGTACCCATTTTAACTTTCCTGAATACGCTCCTGCCCACTTTTATTCGCATGCCGTGACTGTGCAATTGTTTATTTCGTTGGAATATGTAAAGTGACCGCAGTATAGTTCAACTAAACAAGATCGATGTCAGAGGTAATACACAGATTCAAAAATAGTATTTTAAAGAAATATGTAGTAATAGCTATATACTTTTTATTAAAAACTTTAAGTTATTTTAAAATAACTCAAATCTACCAGATTAGCAAGTATTTTCATTTATTTTTTTAATATGTACATTTTATAAGGTTGCAAAAACAATTATTTAAAATAAAAATACCGATAATTTATTAAATCATGCAAAAATTATGAATTTTGTAAAAAAAAATGGAAAACTTGGTTGTTCATCTCAAAATCATACAGTTTCCTTGGACATTCAACCATCATTAAAAGATCTTCATTTGCCCTTTGCGGTGTTATCCCTACTAGTGTCGTTTTCTAAACCCTATTATCATTGTAAAGTAAAAGTGATCTGAGAGCAAAAACAACAACAAAAATAATACCAATAATAGTACGATATTCACCTGTAATTGTCAATTTCAAGTAAATTAACTGTTTCTGCTTGAAAAACACTAAAAACAATCCGATCAAGAAAGTGGTGTCTGCGATCCGAGCCACTAATATTCTCAAGCAACTGCAGATGAAGTCATTCTAAGAGATTCAGGAACACCCCATTTTTATTGCCTCAAAAGATCCACAAACCAAGCACCACTCCGACAAATAGTGATTTCGGTTGTCAACTTGTCCAGAAGGTATTCAACATAACTAAAGAACTGATGGAGAAAAACGATAATCAATCGTGAGAATTCATCTGAATTCAAACGATATCACAGCTAGTTTAACGTGACGTCGTTTTGCAGAACTCTCAGTTGAAGAACCTTGAAAGAACTTCATCAAATAAGAATTGCAGAGAACACGGCTGAGAATTTATTGAACTTGGCAATAGTGTGCACCAAATAGATTTTATTCTTCCTTGTCCTCAACTCTAGCAAGTGTTACTTTCGTTACTTTTATCTGCGTCTCCACATTTCTCAGATAATCTTTCTTCTCTCTTTTTTTCCAGCATCACACTGTTACTAGGGTCTCCCTATGAGCGTTATAAAGAATAATTTCATTTAATGAGTTTATTCAACATACCTCCTTATATTGTCACTGTAAACAGCTTAAGATAAGTACGTAACCTTATACTATTAAGGCAGATTATCATTTGATGCAAACAGGTGACAATTATTTGACATCGCTTCTGCTTTACCCACGACATATCAATTATCTGTATTATAAATATGGAAAAACCTTTATAAAATAAAATTTTTATAAAGAAAACTAAGACATGAATAGGTTATAATAGGGTTTTTTTGGCTAGCCCAACAAGATGTTTCTCACATAACAAGGTTTTTCTTGTGATCTGTTGAATTATATTCAACCAATTTTACTTCTGTTTACAATTTATTATCCACTAGTTACCTTTTGTAATAAAATTGATTGAAATGATTTAGTGATAATAGCTCTACTTGACTTGAAGTCGACGCGATTTTAACTAGGCTGAAACACTGACGAATATAAATTTCTGCATATTAAGACCTTATCGATGAATTCCAACAATTTAGATAAACGGATTTGCTAAGTACTTGAGTAAGACCAATTGCGGATTATCTGTCGGAATGTTTCGTTTTCATAAATTCATTTATCGGATATTATGTTAATGAAACGGTTACGAGTTAATTTTCAAGACTAAGAAATTGATCGAGTACCATTTCTAAAAATACCTATTAGAATTGTATCGATTATTTTAAAAACAATTTAAGGCGCATTTTGCAAGTTTTCAATAGACCATGATAGGAACAAATGTGCATTGTAGCAAGTTTAATGTATCAAATAAACTAGTATTGAATAATGTTTCACTGCACTTTGTGAATGTAAGAATTTGGGTGTTTTGATTGACACAAACTTATCTTTTACTTCTCACATTGATAACATAATTAAAAAAGCATTTGAGCAGTTTAAGACAAAAGAATATTAGGAAAATATCGGTTATCTATGTGTTTTTTAACTAGCAATACAGACGCAATGTATCGAGTTCTAAAGATAAAATCATGTACTATATTTCTAGTATTTTTTGTGTAGGGGACACGCTGTATATGTTGAACTTTTATACATTTGAAAGCAAACATAATATGTATCAAGCATAACTTTTTTTAATACACTAGATTCTGTATTTCTTTTTTTGTATAAAATAATCGAAAATTAAAAAAAATCGTGAAATACTTATTAAATACTTTAAGCAAATATTCTATACTATCCGCAAAAATTTTTATTTAGGTAACCAAGTAAATTTAATACCGCACAAAATGTAATGTATTTATTGCTTATCAAAGAATTAAATTAGATAATATAAAAAATTGGACCGAGGGTTTTTCATATTATTATTCGATCCATCATAATCCGTCACTACGAATTAGCCTAGATTTTTCCAATGAAATATCCTATGCATAAATATTAATTGATAACTTATCTATTTTATTTACCTTTATTTCTTACTCTCTAGTAAGTCAAATATAGAATCCAACTGTGAAATGGAGATAAAAAACACTCTAGCGACGGATATAAAATCTCAAATAATTTTAGCATGTTCCATTCGTTTCCTTTTCATTAGCTGATTGCATCAAAATGGTTTCATTGAAAAATTCGCCAGTTATCTGTGTGAATTTGGAATACGAGTATATGGGTTGCTCTATCGAGGTTTCGACCTTATACAAATGACGGGTCACACCAATTTTTTGTTTGGGAAAGATAATAGTAATAATAATTCTACTAATCAAGTAAATATTTTAGGAGGTTAAACTAAATACCTAATTATTTTTGACTCATATTCGCTAAAAATAATATTTATATTTGATAACTATCACTAATGTAGCATGTTAGATGTAATACTAGAAACACACGCCTGTTTTATGTTTTATCTTCAATTCAATTAGTTCTGCCTGTGACAATATATGTTCTGTTTTTATACTTCACAGATAAGATACTGGTGATTATGCTGATAAAAATATATTTTCTCGGTACCCTACAAATAACTAGCAGCAATGTAAAAAGTTGTTTAGCTGATTTGTTACTGTAGTTCAATGTGACGCTAAATCGCTAAATAAATAAAGATATAGACAACCGATAAAAATAAAAATTTAGTTATTTATTTTTAGATGTAACAGAGGCTATAGTTTCACAGCGTTGTCACCTATTTTTGGGACACCGTGTACATCATACACCCACTTTTAGGCTGTTATTAACCATAAAATTAAAAATTCAGTTCGCAGTCGCACACCATCGAATTCTATTAACCCCAACGACCTAGTTCAATCAATTATTTGGTTTTAACTCTTTTGGTGTTTTAGTAAGACTATTAATTGGGAACTAGTTCCGATTTGTAAATTTATATAAATATTCAAAGCGTCTGTGTACAGGGTGAACGACTTAGGAAATGCGTTTCCTTGTGCTATTATAAAAATGGTGTTTATTTAACATACGGCAAAAATTCAAGGGGTTATTCCCTGGAGAAAATTGTAAAAAAATTGAAATAAAAAAACTACGGGCCGAAAACCCCCTTCACCAACCTAAACGGGTCGTATATGATTTGCATGTCGAAAAACGGAGTAGCCCATGTTATTTAACGCAAAAAGTTATGTAAAACCCATAAATTTTTTTCTATTTATTTGCGACCGTTTTGTCAATAACAGAAAAAAAAACATTTTTGTTTGAGCCCTTTAATTTAAGGGCAAATAACTTCCTAAGGGTGCGTCTTAGGGCACATGTTAATAGGAACTTTTTGGCTTGACCGAAAAAGGTTCTGATCAACAGTTTTTACATTTACTACAATTTGAGCTATAAAATTAAGTCTGTTTTCAATGTTTTTTCCAAATGGAGCCTACCTCATCCCATTTAACACAACGTGTCCCAAATTTTATTTAAATTTTTTGTATCCTGTAGCGATTCATGATCATGATAGAGGACTTGACTAACAAAAGTTTAACTGTTAAAAACAGAAAATACACGTCAAACAGACAAATGTGAATTAGTCTCAACAAATTCGACACATACAAAATGATCAAGCACGAGACGTATTCAAATGAAATTTTGGTTCATGCTTCAAACTGGTTTCTTTTCAATACGTGCACTTGCCTTCGTTTTTTCTTAAAAAAAAAAAATATACTCAGTAAACCCAGTGTAGTACGCCATAGGTACTTTAATTTCGACTACATTAATAATTTAAAAAATATCAAAATTGGTTTTGTCGAAAATTTTTCTCTTTCGGAACAAAGCGGCTTTTCAAAAATCATCAAAGGACAAAACATTCTTAGATTAGTCCAGGGAATAACCCTTTGAATTTTTGCCGTATGTTTAATAAACACCCTGTATATTTTTAATTACTGCAAAAATTTTATTTCTTTACCCACCTTTCTAACGGCAGGCACACGCGTAACATTTTAACCGTCAAGTAAATTATGAAGGATAAACTATTAACAATTCTGCTCCTTTAATTCCAGGCAACCATCCTGCGAAAGGCCTATGGGGAATGAAACACACCAGGAAACCCGTCGACTTCCTGGTGGCTCAAGCCAAGAACCTCCCGCCCAACATCATCCTCCCCGTAGTCAGAATATGCATCACGAAAGACGGCATAAGCTACCAAGAGCTAACAGACACGACAGGCAACAGCTCACCTGTCCACTTCCCCGTGGACGTCATATCCTACGGCGTCCAAGACCTGGTCTACACCAGGGTGTTCAGCATGATCATCGTCACCGACGACAACTTGGAGAACGGCATTCCGTTCGTTTGTCACAGTTTCGTGTGCGAGTCCAGGGACCAAGCGAGGAAGATCACCTACGCGCTGGCGGCGGCTTTCCAGGACTACAGTCGACGGGTTAAGGAAGAAAATAAGGATATGACGAAAGTTAAAAGATTCGCTATCGACCTGAGGACTCCGGAAGAGCAAGCCGAGGCGTCCGACGGCGAGACTGACGCTTGACGCTGTTTTCGACTGACACGTCGACTTGGACTTTAATATTTGTGATATTTTTTATTGCGGTTCACCCGGTGAATATTTGTTCTGGTTCATTTATCAGTATTCAGCACGTTATTGACACGTGTCGTATTAACGCGTGTCAACTGTTCCACATACAGGGTGATAACTTTTTAATTGTCCGATACAGGTATCTTTTTCATTTTAAGAGTTACAGAAATGATTAAATGGGCAAAAATTATAATTATATTCAATATCTTGGTTATTTATTTACGAAAATCCCATAAATTATACGTAGTTAAGAGAATTTCCTCTTTTTTCTAATGAGGCAAAAATTTAATATGGTGTTCGTAAGAAAAACAAAAGTTAACTACCGCTCAGCACACATGTCTAGAGATACGTCAAAACTGATTGTAAAAATCGATTCTTCACGTCATTTAATATTAGACTACACATTTTTGTCCAAAAATCTTGAAAAACAACTGAAATACGACTAAAAAAAGAAATATCGTAAAATCGGTTTTCTTCGAATATCTTCGGAACTATTCGGAATTTTGTAAATTTAGAAACGGATCCGTGATCGCCATAAAATTCTGCACATTTTTGCCAATTTAATCATTTCTGTAACTTTTAAAATAAGAAAGATACCTGTATAGGACAATTAAAAAGTTATAACCTTGTATATCCATTATACAATTTTAAATAAGAGCGAACATATTGCTCTGATGTGTCGTCTGAAGCTTATTGACAATACAATGCGTATTATTAATACTTCGAGAAGATGTACTTATTGAAGAGATACCAAAGTACGATTTAACATATATTTCATTTCAGTACAATATGGACACATTGTCTGGGCGCCACTAGAAAATTTTAGAAGGGAGGCAAAGATAATATTCCCTATTTTATTTGTTTTACATACAAACTAAAAGAAAACAGTAAAATATACAGGGTGTTTGTAAATAAGTGCGAAATATTTTAGGGGGGTGGTCGCTGAAGTTATTTTGTGAAAAAAGTTCAGGTTGAAAATATGCTTCGTTTCCGAAATACAGTGTTTAAATTTTAAATTTTTATTTATTTTTATTAATTATTTCAAAGAGTTTTAAAGATATTGACTCGTAACTTGATGGTTGTAGTTTATTTACAAATATTGACAGCAACCTACTAGATAATGTTTCAATAGAAATTAAAAATACACAAAAAGGATTTAAATTTAAACACTGTATCTCGGAAACGAAGCATATTTCAACCTACGTTTATATGACCTTTTTTTTTCATAAAATAACTTCGGCAACTACGCCCTAAAATATTTGGAACTTATTTACAAACACCCAATATATAATAATAATGAACAAAACACTAGAACAATCATTTTTTGGTATGCAGAATAAAAATAGAAGTAAAGATAATCAAAACATTGAGAAAACTAAAACTTCAACCTCCTTTTTGACAAAAATACATAACACTTCTTCGAGAAATTGATCAGGTATACAATCAACCTTTTCTATACATTTGGTAAGCATAGTACGGATAAACATATTTAAACTGGAAAGGACTTCTTCAGGTAAATCTGTTTGACCAATTAATTGTGAAAATAAAGTATATACTTCATTGCAAAGTTTGGGTTTAATAGAAACTCAAACTTAAACATTTTTTTGTCTAATAAGCCATCTTGCAAATAATAATATAAATTAGATTCAATACCTCACTTGGAAACCTGCACAGTAAATATAAACACTAAAAACACTATTCAGTGCAACCTCTTAACTTAGAAACACAAACAGGAATGATGGTACATCCCAGGAAGATAGGTGAAACGAATATCTGCCTTATTGCAATTAGACCCTTATTAATTCCTTTAGGTATTTTCCTAATGATAAAATAATATGGTTTCTTGGTATCCATTATGAGAATTTCTTGATATTAAATTGACACAAATAGCTACCTCAAATTTTCTAATTAAGTACCCCCAGATTATTAAAATATTATACTATGTGTCGGCCAGCTTGTTCTATAGTCTGTTTAGAAATGAAAGAGAGTAATAAAAGCTTATTATGTATGCAAATCGTAAATAAATGTAGTACTGGTGCTTATATTCAATATTTTTATATTATGTATTATCCGTATAGATGAGGTGTACTTTTAAAAAAAATTGTGTGACCGGGTTGTACTAAATTGTAGCAGGTAGCTAAAATTTAATCCCCGACAATCCGTCTTTGTCTATGCCGCTTCAATTTCTCGGTCCATTTCTCTTATAAGTAAACAATATAAAAACAGCATTTCAAAACATGAGGCTACTTTAAGCATCATAACCGGGTTAAGAGGGTTTTTAGTAATTCAAATAAAATTATTCAATATTATCAAAATATTTATTTAAATTTAATGAATAGACTTTTATTCCACACAAAAATATATGTATTTTGAAAATTCAAATTATGGTGAGTAAATGTAGTGTTGTATAACTATACAATAAAGAAAATAAAAAAGTAGGTATATTAAAATTCATCCTCTGAATATTCTGATGAATTATCTTCGTCTCCTCGATTGATAACGATAGGTTCCACAGTAACGTCAATTAAATTATCGAGTTCCCACATTTTCTCCTCTTCTTTTTGTACATGATGTATACATCTTTGCCAGGCAAATCGTTGTCCTCTGAAAGTTCACTTAAAATTTTGTTTAGCGTTGGTATTTCTTTTTTAAAATAAAATGAGTGCACCTTTCTGCGAATGACATTTTTGAAGAAATCATCTATAACGACTTTTGACCTCCCTGTAGATGATTTTGGGGGATTTACAGTATCTTGTTTATTTTTTTTTCCTTTAAAAGTCTGTAGATAGTCGATTTTCCAATCCCTGTCATTTTGGAACACTTTTCCACGATGTCGTCAACACTGTTGGTAGAATTTTGGTGTTTCAATGCATTAAATACATTTAATATAATAATCTTTTCATTCTGAGACAGCGCACATCTTTCCACGCGTTTAGCAGGTACGTAATCTGATAAGCTCGACATTTTACCCAAACAACATTATATCCACTGGCACAATAGTCACTAAACACAAGTTGAATTTTACTCTACTGCACTAGCACGTCTTCGTATATTCAGCTCTAAGACTGGATTGATCTGTCACAATACACTAGCTCCTGCCCTATGATGTATCCAGTAAAATATACTAATGTACACCCATTACCTGTTAGCATTAGTGTTACCCGATAATTACCTGAAACGAAATATTAGCACGCCCATGGCCGGTTCTTATCTCGGGGTTTTATTACTCTCTTTCATTTCCAAACAGACTATAGAAGACTATACCCGTAGAAACAATTTTGTCAACAAGAATATTATTATATTATATATTAAGATATTATTCGTATTACACAGAATTACTTTAACCAAGGGCACATATAATGTTAATATATTTTTAAATTTGGTGGGTCATAAATTATGATCTTTGGTACCATTTTTTTAGCAGAGGAGAAGTGTGGTTACTGCCTCCTCTTATCCCCGTCTGGTGGCGCCCATGTATCTGAGAATGCTACAACAGGTCCACCTCAAATGGATATTCTATTTTTTTTTGTAATACCATAAATTCACGAATTGCTAAGGATTGCACCTGTATATTGCTACAGGTATAAATACATTTAAATCGTCAATACCCTTCTATAACACATCAGCATAATGTGATTAACTGTGTCGTGTTCTGACTATTAGTTTACAACAATTCACTAAAACGTGTCGTGTTGATACATGTCGTGTTAACACATTAACACGACATGTGCTAATTATGGTTTTATCTGAACAAATGGTTAGATTACAGCAAAAAAGTATTTTTGGTTTCAGTAATTGCACAGAAAGAACATTGTTAAGAAAATTCACAAAAGTGTGGCACAAGTTGTGCGAGATATTTGTAGAATATTGTGTAAAAAAATATAACAATTTGGGCTACAATTGTGTGGATTTTCATGACAGTTTTTCCACGGGGTGAGTATAGAAGACAAAAATTTGTTACTAACCGTATAATTTATTGTATTTACCTTAGTTACGACTTTATTAAAAAGAAGTTAATTTATAATTATCGTACAAGTTATTTTTTCAGGTGAAAAATTGTGTTTACCGAAATAAACTTTTTTAGATTGCTTTGTTTGTCACTTATTTCCATCAAATATTATCAGTGATCGGACATTTTCAAATAAAAAGGGTACAAATATATAGTGGTAAGATTATTATTTCGTGTATTATATTTTTAGGGAATTAAATGATTATTTATACAAGTTGTCTCAGGATGAATTGACCAAACCTAAAATTTGAATTCGGTTGGTCAAAATGAGATAAATTATATGAAGGAATGTCTTAAAATGTTCGTTTTTCGAGACTCACAGTGATGAAATATAAAAAAAAATAATATTTTCTATAATATCTCTGACGATGTTTGCCGTAGTGTAAAAAAAACTTGGGTTTCCTACTAATCTTCTTTCTATTAATGTTTCTTCTGAAGAAGACCATTGACAACTGCCACAGAAACCTGGAAACAAACCTATAACATCAACTCAACAGATGGGTTACATTTAAAATTGTAATAAACGAAGACATACTTATTTCATTCAGAGCTTTCATAAATGATTACAAGCTACGTGGCCAGTATTTTTGTTTGGAACAGTAATTTTATTTCATTCGTGTGTGATATATTTAAAAATTATTAAAACAATAAGATCAAGACAAAAAAATACAACATTCGGTTTCACCGCGTTGTAATGGGCGTTATTTTTCACATTTTATTCAACCAATTGGCGATCACTTTATCTCCAGCGTAGACGCAGTAGTTTGTCATTATTCATTGTAAACGAATCATTAATATTGATGGCGCTAGTATTTAAGGATTTGAATATCTTAGCCAATCAATGTTAGGTAATAATCGAGTGCAGCAAGCAACAGTGGTGTCCGATGGAGTTTGAACATTGAGGCTAGCCTTACTGATAGAGTGAGGTGAGAGACGAGGTCGAGGGTTCATACAAAACCGACGTGCACGATAACAATCTAAATTAGGGGAATAACTGTGATTTCTCCTAAATAGTTTGAAAATAACCCCAAATACAGAATAATCTGATAAATTAATTGGTGAATTGAATTGTGGTGTGTGTAATATATTAATTATTCTGGGTTTTCTTGGTAATTGTATAATTTAAGTGGACAACAAATTACTATTTTTTTTATCAGTGGCGCCCAAGAGGTGAAAGATTTGTCCATTCTAGCCCCACAGCTCACGACGCGACGTACAGATTTGGGTCTCATGTTTCTTTGAAGATATAGTCCAAAGCCTTTAAATCGAAATTTTGATCAACTTGCCTGAATTTTTGATATGAGTTAGTTTGAGATATATTATAACAATAAGTGACAGTAATTTTTTGATCAACCCCCGGCCAAGGGTGAAACAAGATAAAACAAAGGAGTTTTTCAAGATAACTCAAAAGGGGCAAGGGCTAGAAAAAAAAGTTTCTTATAAAAGTTGTAAATCATATAAT